CTGTGAGTGGGACTCATGATGGAGCACACACACCTGTCCTGCACTGAGCCAATCAGCTGCCAGCTCTCGTCCTCGCCGGGATACCACACCTGACACACACACACACACACACTATAACTCAACACACTTATCCTACAAGACAGAAACAGCAGGAGGAACATCATCTCCACACATTCACTGAACAATAAGAGTTATGCAGTGCAGGATTTAGCTCTGATTCTGTGAGTGTGTAAGTACTCAAGCACCTGTGTGTTATAAAGCATCCCGATGGACTGGTTCTGTACTGCTGAAATAACTGCAAATTAGTGACGACCGAAACCTTGAGCCGAAGAGAAAACATTGCTTTCTAACGCTTAGAAACATCTTTAACTGGCCTCAGCTGGTTCTGCTGGACTTACAGACCATCATAAACCAGCCAAGACCAGTTCAGCAGGGAACACAACCACCAGTCCCAGAGATCCAATGAGAAACACTTGAGGAAAATATAAAAAACCACACACACACACTCAGACACACACACCCACACACACACACACACTGACACTCAGACACACACACACACCCACACACACACACACACACACACAGAGGCTGCTGGGCTCTTTAATTAGACGAGCCGTTTCCATCTGTCCTGATCCGGCTCCTGCGAGTCTCGATGTGTGTGTCACAGCGGCGTATGAACACAAACACACTCCCACACTGAGAGTACCCGCATCATGCACACACACACACACACACACACACACACACACACACACTCGTTTCTGCTGTGTGATGTTCAGACGCTCCGCTAGCTCCCGCGAGTCGCTGTAAGCCAATCAAAATAGGTTTAATTCCTGAAGAGTGAAGCACTGTGATCGTGTGAGTTTGGGGCGGGGCCATCTCACTGACTGACCAATGGTGGACCGGAGGAGAGTTCAGGGAAACCTGTCTGAAGACACTCAGTATTCCAGCGTGTCTCGCTGTGTCTCATTCCCATCAAGACTCATTTCAGAGACGTCACCGTTGTAACATGAACAGTTTTTCCTCTGAAGGTGTAAAATAACTGTGATTTCTCACTTACACTGCAATATAATGGACACTCTTCTGAAATAAGGCCGCCACAATCATAACTTTTGCTTCAGGTTGTGCCGTGAGTCTTATATTGGCTGATTGGTGCTGAGTGTGTGTTTTCTGCTGCCTCTGATTGGCTGGCGGGTGTTGTGAGGTTGCCGTGGCGATGCCAGTTCCTGGCCCACGGTGAGTGGCAGATCTCCAGTTCTTAGAGGAAGTGCCACACTGTGTGTGTGGGAGTGTTTGTTTGTCAGTGAGTTCGTCTCTGTTCCCGGTTCAAAAATACCACACACACACACACACACACACTTACATGCTCTAAAAGACAACAGTAAAGCCCAAACACACACTTAAAGCAGACACAAACGGAGATATTAGTACGTACGCTGATGAGCTTCTCCGAGGTCCCGGGTCGTGCGGCGTGTTGATCGAGACCCACCAGCGCCGGCAGCTTCACGGACATCCAGTTGGAGACCATGATCATGGTGCTCACCACCGCACCGAGCTTCAGCAGAGGAACGCTCATGTCACACACACGCTGATGACAGCCAATACTGTCCTGCTGTCACCGAGGAAAGCTGGAAGAAATCTGGTTAAGAGGAAAAAACTGCAGGTGGATTTCAGACTCTCAAACTCTGACGGATTATAAAAAAAACTGTGAATGAAGGAGGAGTCGTCCAGTCCAAACCACCCGATCCACTGACCAGAACACACGCCTCACGGGACAGAGAGAGAGAGAGAGAGAGAGAGAGAGAGCCCAAAATCCCACAATCATTCCTGTAATGCAAAATAATTAATTAAATCACAGTGGTAGAATATATTATTTACGTGTTTATTCTGATTTACATAAAATAATAATAATAATGGTATGACCAGAATCTAATGAGAATCATCATCACTTTTAAGGTGTAAATGCATAATCTGGCATGAAAATAATGCAAAAATAACAGTAATACTCAGTCTAAGTATAATTTGACATATTGACAAAGTCATAATTATGAGATTAAAAAGTCAAAATTATAAAATTACTGTAAATCTAAATTGGTCATAAGTATTACTTTTTTTAACAAATTCTAAATTTTGTCATAATTTCGACTTAATCTTATAAGTATGAATTTTTAATTCATTATTTCAATTTAGTGTCAATAATTCAATTCAAATTTTAACTTTGGATGCCAATTTCAACATTTTTAGTCATAATTATGATATAAAAGTTGAAATTATGACTGTTTTTGAGTTGAGTTAACCTTGTAGTAAATCTTCTTGTAATTATGATTATGATTTCTGCAGCTCAGGTACTGATAGTGTTTAAGTTTCAGTTAATTTCCCTCAGATCTTCACTTAAATGTGAACTATATGTGAACAAACAAGCATATTCATGAGAAAGATCTGTCACAGAGGAGATATTTTAAATAATCTTCAAAAGGTTTAATTACTTATTCACTAAAGCTGTCATTTTTGCAGAGAATACACAGTGTTTATATTTACAAACTCTAAACTACACATATTTATTCTGTTTCGATCAGAGAATCACTCGTTTATTCAGTGAACTGAACATAAATCACGTGTCCTAAACCAGTGATTTTATTAAGTAATAGTTTTATTTAAAAATCTCTCCTCTCCAACAGTATTTATCAAACCGACAGTCAGAGAAATATTAAACATAAAATCATTCCATCATATAAACAAGTTAAAATCAGGCCTGATGTTACGAAACATTCAAACAAACAGATACAAAAATACATCATCATCTCTCAAACAAACAGTACAAAATAAATGTGAATCTCTGTGAGGTCTGGATGTGGTAATCATGTCACATGATCTCCCTTCAAGCACAACTTCCTGTTCTCAGAGAATCAGACAAACGCGAGCACCTGAAGGACTGACGTATAAATATGTAAGTCTCGTGTGGCCTAGCCGTTGAAGCAGACCTTCCCCACGCTGAAGCCGAACTTCTGCCGGGCGTTCCCGAAGTCTGTGACGGCCACGTCCATGAGCGGCAGAGCGTCCGCGTGAGGAGAGTCCACCTCCAGAACGGTCCGGTCCTGCCCCGAACGCCACTACAGGCAGAACAACAGCACACGGGCAACGTCACATGACAGAGCCAACTCTGTTCAATGAGCTATGGCAACTGATTCACGATTCACTGACTTGTTCATATGAATTGATTCAGGAGTCACTGAGTCGCTTATATGGATTGATTCAGGATTCACTGACTTGTTCATATGAATTGATTCAGGATTAATTGAGTTGCTTATATGGATTGATTCAGGATTCACTGAGTCACTTATATGGATTGATTCAGGATTCACTGACTTGTTCATATGGATTGATTCAGGATTCACTGAGTCGCTTATATGGAATGATTCAGGAGTCACTGAGTCGCTTATATGGATTGATTTAGGATTCACTGACTTGTTCATATGGATTGATTCAGGATTCACTGAGTCGCTTATATGGATTGATTCAGGATTCACTGACTTGTTCATATGAATTGATTCAGGATTAATTGAGTTGCTTATATGGATTGATTCAGGATTCACTGAGTCGCTTATATGGATTGATTCAGGATTCACTGACTTGTTCATATGAATTGATTCAGGATTAATTGAGTTGCTTATATGGATTGATTCAGGATTCACTGAGTCACTTATATGGATTGACTGACTTGTTCATATTGTTTGATTCAGGATTGATTGGCTTGTTCATTTGGATTGATTCAGGATTGACTGAGTCGCTTATATGGATTGATTCAGGATTGACTGACTTGTTCATATGGATTGATTCAGGATTCACTGACTTGTTCATATGAATTGATTCAGGATTTACTGAGTCGCTTATATGGATTGATTCAGGATTGATTGACTTGTTCATTTGGATTGATTCAGGATTTACTGAGTCGCTTATATAGATTGATTCAGGATTGATTGAGTCGCTTATATGGATTGATTCAGGATTCACTGAGTCGCTTATATGGATTGATTCAGGATTGACTGACTTGTTCATATGGATTGATTGACTTGTTCATTTGGATTGATTCAGGATTGATTGAGTCGCTTATATGGATTGATTCAGGATTGACTGACTTGTTCATATGGATTGATTCAGGATTCACTGACTTGTTCATATGAATTGATTCAGGATTTACTGAGTCGCTTATATGGATTGATTCAGGATTGACTGACTTGTTCATATGGATTGTTTCAGGATTGACTGACTTGTTCATATGGATTGATTCAGGATTCACTGACTTGTTCATATGGATTGATTCAGGATTCACTGAGTCGCTTATATGGATTGATTCAGGATTCACTGAGTCGCTTATATGGATTGATTCAGGATTCAATGACTTGTTCATTTGAATTGATTCAGCAGTCACTGAGTCGCTTATATGGATTGATTCAGGATTCACTGACTTGTTCATATGGATTGATTCAGGATTCACCAACTTGTTCATATGGATTGATTCTGGAATCACTGAGTCGCTTATATGGATTGATTCAGGATTGACTGACTTGTTCATTTGGATTGTTTCAGGATTTACTGAGTCGCTTATATAGATTGATTCAGGATTGATTTAGTTGCTTATATGGATTGATTCAGGATTCACTGAGTCGCTTATATGGATTGATTCAGGATTGACTGACTTGTTCATATGGATTGATTCAGGATTGATTGACTTGTTCATTTGGATTGATTCAGGATTCACTGAGTCGCTTATATGGATTGATTCAGGATTCAATGACTTGTTCATTTGGATTGATTCAGGATTCACTGACTTGTTCATATGAATTGATTCAGGATTTACTGAGTCGCTTATATGGATTGATTCAGGATTCACTGACTTGTTCATATGGATTGTTTCAGGATTGACTGACTTGTTCATATGGATTGATTCAGGATTCACTGACTTGTTCATATGGATTGATTCAGGATTCACTGAGTCGCTTATATGGATTGATTCAGGATTCACTGAGTCGATTATATGGATTGATTCAGGATTCAATGACTTGTTCATTTGAATTGATTCAGCAGTCACTGAGTCGCTTATATGGATTGATTCAGGATTCACTGACTTGTTCATATGGATTGATTCAGGATTCACCAACTTGTTCATATGGATTGATTCTGGAATCACTGAGTCGCTTATATGGATTGATTCAGGAATCACTGAGTCGCTTATATGGATTGATTCAGGAGTCACTGAGGCTGAATCCGAAATCACTCCCTATACCCTCAAATAGGGCGTTGATATTTAAAGGGACAGCTATTTGTAGTGGTGTCCGAAACCATAGTGGACATTATCAAGTATACTCATTCTATCCCACAATCCACCGCAGTAACGATTGTAAAGCCGATGTACGCTCAACGGCTGTCTGAATTCACTCACTCCTTTTCATTTACTCCTTCATGTGAACAGTATTAGTGGACTAAAGTAGGGAATAGCGAATGAGGGTTTAGGGGTGATTTCGGATTCAGCCTAAGTTTTGATTCAGCCTATGGATTGATTCAAGATTTGAGTTGTTCATATGGATTGATTCAGGGTTCTCTGAGTCTTTCAAATGGATTGATTCTGAGTCGTTCACAGTGAGAGGGGGCGAGTGTGTACCTGACAGCCGTCGTGCGTGGGCTGGATGTAGTGTGTGTTCTGCTGCGTCAGCTCCTCCCCGTGTCCGCCTCTGAAGCGCAGTGCGTGTTTGTAGCTGAGGGAGGCGCTGTCGAGCCAGCCGGCCGAGTTCTGGCACACGTATGTGAAGCTCTGGTGGGCCGTGGCGCTCAGGAGCTTCAGGAAACCCAGCTGAACCACATGAACGGGGTTTCCGTCCACATCCACATACGAAAACTACACGAGGCAGACGGAGAGAGTGTGAATGAAGGGACAGAGGCTAAACATAGCACAACAACACAATCAGGAATGACCTGTGAGCCTTTCTTGAACTTGCTGAACCAGGTTCCTGGTTTCTCTTTGCTCCATGAAGCCATTTTGACCTGTGCACAATAAACATCATTCACACGTCACTTTATTTCTGAGGACACATGGCAGATATAAATGCTTAGGGTAGCTTCTGCTGTAGAAGGACAGGTTTACATCATGACTTCATCCCAACTCTATTGTTTTCCAGGTGTAGTGCGAGTAAAGATCTCACCGCCTGAATGCTGCTGTGTGGCTGGAGACACGTTTCACCTTCTGCAGTGAAGTTGCAGAACACCTTAAACGCGTCTCTATGGCAACCCTGGTTGGGGTCAATCCAGTAAACACCTGAGGTCAGAAGTCATACAGAGAAATCAGGATCGGACTGAGAACGCAACACTAGAATGTGAAAAACATTCTCCAGCACTGGATCAAGTGCGGACTGGATCCCTGTACCGTCAGGATACTCGGGGTGGCACATCCACAGCTCTTTGCAGGTGCGGGCGGGACTGTGGAAGGTTCCCAGGGGAGTTCTGAGTCCCTCCACATCAGTCCTCATGGACGACAGGGACGCGAACACCTCCTCCATGTCCTTCTTCTCCCCCTGAGCCTCCTCGCCCTGCATCTCTCCGTCCTCCACAGCGGCTCCGTCCACTTCCGAACTTCTCCTCCTCTTCCCTCGGCCGTCCAGTCCCGGAGGAGCCACCATTCCCACCGCAGGAGAACCCTGGACAGAGACGCTTGTTCTGTTAATGCTCCTTCTGCCATTTATTCTTCCTAAAAACATGAGGACTGGACACTCACCGGGGGTCCTGGGGGTCCTGCAGGCCCGGTATCTCCTCTGGGTCCAATAGGGCCCTTAAATAAACCACATCATTCACATTATTCAGTATCCGCTGGTGTTCATGGTGCTC